CTTTGTACATCAACTCAGGCAAAAGGAAATATTTAAATCAGAGGTGGTATTCAGCCAGTTCTGACAGGTTCTGGAGAGTCGGTAGCAGAAATTTTGAGTAATTCGGAGAAGAGGCAAATAGGCTGGCCCCGCCCCTGCTGCCTCCCAGCCTCTCAGCTGATCTTCAGTTGCCGTGAACAGGAGAACGGAGCTGGAAAGTAGATTAGTGGGGTAGGGAGGGAATGGGGATTTTGCAGTATCCTTTCCCCTGCCACGCCCACCAAGCCACACCCACAGAACCGGTAGTAAAATATTTTGAATCCCACCACTGATTTAGATGCACTCTTTTAAGCATTTTAGATGGAAATAAGTCCCACTGATTTGTAGATGGCTTGCAATATTTTAGGATTATGATTCCTATTGCAAGAGGTTTCATTAAGTTAAATTTTAGATGGGATTCCTTGGATAGAATCATGGTGTTTCACTCATAGCTTCTCATCTTCAGTATCGGAGAGGCAAGAATAATTTATCCTTTCCTCCCACCCCATCCAAATCCCTCATGCACAATTATCACTATTCTCTGCCAATTTGATAATAAACTTTAAAATAGGAATGGCCAAGGTTTATCATTCAGATGACACAAGCGTTATCACTCAAAGCTTAAAACAGTTTCCCAGGGGAAAAAACTCAGTTCCCTGAAAAGCTATCTAATTGATCTTGCTAAGTACGCTGTACTTGATAACAAGATAGTAAGAGAAACATGTATGCAAAACAAAAAACAAAAACTAGAAAAGGACTCAAAATTAGCTGAGTCAATATAAGGTAGTTTTCCATTCTCCTATGAGTAGTTTCTAAATATTTCCTAAGGGAACTTGCTAATATAGTTTTCTTTGTCAAAGACACCATCTGCCAGTAGCACAGTATTTCCTATCTCATTTACCATTCATCATATAACAAAGGGACAGGCTCCAACATATACTGCTGGTAATCAGATGATTCATCTCCAAGATTCCCAGAAACCACTTAAGGATCACTTTCTCACCTTGAAGCTAATCTCAGCCAAAAGGAAGCATTGTGGAGAATAGTAGAATCACAAACATGGTAGTACCCAAAAGGGAAATCCTTGGTACTCTAGGGTAAATCATTTCTTGTCTTGACAACCTGGATCCAGAAGCAGGGACCTTTCTTTCTGCAGTGCTGTCAAAGTGCTTTCTTCCTATGTGAAATTGGTGCTTCAACCTGTGATGATTAATAGCAAATCCTACTTTTATTTATTTACAGCTCAGCAGATCTATAATTTCTTCAGCCACATTGCTTTCTAAAATTGGTTCTGAAATTGCACACATGAAACGATAATTCTGAAAAGCAATTCATGTTTCTTCTGTGAGGGATCTTCCTTGGCAAACAAACCTCAATGTTTTGATTTTCACTAGTAAACATTGAGTCAAACCTTGGCTAGCTTACTTGTGTGCATGTGCCTGGGTTAGTGATCTCGTTAAAATGAACAACAGTCTTTGAGATTTGAGAAAGCCAGAATAAACGGGTCATCTTGCTAGATCAGATAAAAGCCTACTAAGACATGCTTACCCTCCTCCCCACCCCTTAATTAGTCAGTCTTATGACTCTGGGAAGCTCACCAGCACAACAGGAAGATTATAGCTTTCAAAATATGACTTCTGATCTTTATATCAGTCTTTTACACTGATCTAAAGTGCTATCTGTTCCATTCCACTTAAGCTAGCACAAACCAATCTTGTCATACAATTTGTTGTCCTCATTGCCAATTCCTATGCTGTCTTTGATCTGTCTTCCTGGAGTCACTGCCAAATAGCATTATTGGGTTGTGAATGTGCTAGTTATGATGAGTAAACTAGTCACGATGAACAAGGTACCCTTTATCTTTGCTGCAGGTTCCTTTTAGCACACCAGCAAGCAGCGAGACCATCTGCTAGTCAAGGCACCACAACAAGCACTGGAATGGATATGACTTCAAGGCTCTGGTTGGAGTTTTCTAGGCTGGTTTGTCTTCCCTTTCTGCCACACTTCATTTGGGTATCTCTCAAACTAAAATAACATAAAATAAAAAGCATATAATGCAAAAATGACCTAGGAAAGAAGGAAATAGACTCTGCCATAATTGTTCAGTCAGTCTTGTCCAACCTGCAGCCCATGGGCTGGAAAGCTAGCAATGCAGCCCCACAAGATCGTAAACTTTAATGTTATGTGATTGGTGTGTGTGTGTGTGTGTGTGTTGTATGTATGTATGTATGTATGTATATGTGTATATTTTATATGCAGTGCAAGAAAATTCCTCTTCTCTCAGTGTGGCCCAGACAAGCCAAAAGGTTGGACACCCATGAACTAAATCCTTTAGAGCAGTATTTCTCAACCTCGGAAATTTTAAGATCTATGGACTTCACATTCTCCAGCTGTCCATATATCTTAAAGTTGCCAAGATTGAGAAACATTGCTCCAGAGTGAGATAATGGGAAACTGGCTAGTTGCAGGACAATTAGATCTCATATAGAGAGGAATGGATATGGTTGAAATGGACATTCCCTAACTGGCTGAATTTGACTATAGCAAATTTTAACAGTTGATTTTTTTTATCTTATCCCTGTTCCCCAGGAACTGAAGGCAATGGCATGCCTACCATTTCCCCTTCATTTTTTTGCCATAACAGGAACTAGGATAAGTTGAGCAAAGAGTTAATTAACTAGCATAATATCTGGAAGAGAGTGCCTCTCTCTAGATTATTGAAGTCATCTGCAGGATTTTGAAGTTGGTCTTTCTCAGTCACTGTCCCTTTTCTCTGGAACAAAATGGTCTCAGAGATCCATTGTTCATTGTCTAATGTCCATTGTCAACATTAGACAGGTTTCAGCTCTTTCTGACTTTCCATAAAGCTATTAAGACATGTCTGTTTCAGCAGATGTTTGGACCTGTGGAATTGGCTTTATTCATTTGTTCATTTTCTCCCAGAGAATGCTTTCTATATGTGAAATTCCTTGGAGTTGAGAAATTTATCTTGGTAGTTTTAACCTTCACACTGTTCGTAAGTCTGTAAGCTGCTGTAAGTTATGATTGCATGGTGTTTAAGTCAAATAGTAAGTAGGAACGTAGGGAGGCAAGTAAATAAATAAATAAATAAAATGACCCATTTAGCTTGCATGACTTCTTGGGCTGTAGTTCAGGGTCTTAATCATACTAGGGTAAGGTATGATTGCCAGTTTTGTAAGTTAATGTAGTGTATGAACCTTGGCAAATGGGTTAGGTCAGCAAACTTTGAAAGTGTCCGTCTTAAAATAGGGGCTTCTTTGAGTAAAACTTAGCTCCTGCTGATACCTAAACATTTCTGTGCTGTTTTCTTGACAACAGAAATGGTTTGATATTGTCTTCTTTCAGGATGTTTTTGATGTGCTTTTGAAGGAGATTTCTGTCCATATTTATCTGTCTGTCTGTCTAATCTATCCTCCATCTGTCCAATCATCCTGTATTTTTACCCTACCATTCAGGCTGGATTTAGGTTGCTGAATTATTATGTTCTAGCATCCATTAATATTACTAATCCTATTACTTTTCAACTAGTGAGAATCTGTTATCAGCATGACTGAACTGGACATTTCACCTTTTTGTTTCCCTTCTCTTTGAGCACTTCTGCTTATAAAAGGAACATAAGGCCAGGTCCCTTAAGGACATTGGAGAGTTCCCAGCACCTTTATCAATCCTTGTTGATCAAGATCAACACTACAAAACAATTCTGTTAGTGCCATTCTGTTATCTTTTAGGGTACAAGAAGATTGCAATATATGCTATAGGATCTATAGTTCTATAGATCATATTACATGAATGGGTAAAATAGTAAGCAAACAAAAGTCTAAAACTCCTATCATTGTCTATGTTTTTGTGTAGAAACAGACGGTAACACAATCCTGACAACTAGGAAATAATGTCCATATTTAAAAGAATCCATTTGTGTCCTTTTAATTGTAACATAATCATCCTGAGATAAATATAATTTATAATACTTCAATAGAAAACTGGGAAATCTGTTCACCAATGCACATAGAGCTATAGCTAGAAAAATAAATTTTCATCAACCTAAACTTACTATGTGAATATAAGTTCTGTGCAACTGAGTAGAATGTATTTCTAAATTGTATTATTTAGGCCTGGAATTACATATATCAGGCTACAATTTGCACACAGTTATTTCTAATTTTAATATAAGTAGCTGTTACATTTACTTGAAAGTAGTTTCAGTTGAAATCACGTACATACAAAGAGTTCAGCACTGGATTTTTGCCTGAAAGTGTTAGAAAAGTTAATAACCTTTATAGAAGTGAGAAAGAACATCTGGGATAGTTCAGCTTAAAAAATATTATATGTGCCCTTAATGCATTTTACTTATGCAACTACTGTGGTAACCTAAATTAAAATAAGGATACATCAGTTATTTATATTATAAAGCAATAGCATACAAGTATCAGTTAATTAAGAGTTAACTTTAAGAATTTCTTCAAATGTAATTAACATTATAGACCTACACACCTTTATTTAGAAGACTGTTCTACTCACCTTTAGTCCATAAGCATTCATAGGATAGAACATTGAGAGTAAATTATCATTGCAAAATGAAAGCCTTTATAAGGATTTATGATCATTTCCTCTTAGTCAAAGACATTGAATGAGTAGCTGAGCATCCCAGCTACAAAGTCTGGAATGATGCAATTGGTAAATATACATTCCATTTATCTGTTAGTACAGTCTGACCTTCATCTATGATAAAGGAGAGGCGTTTCTTCTCATTCTGTATTTTTTGAGCACAGGCAAGTAAATGATAGTGAGTCAGAATTTTGTGTGGCCTACCTAGATTTGGCAGAACATTTTTTGAATTATTTGTCTAAAGAAATCAGAGCAAGAGGAACTTTGCTCTGCTTGGGTTATAATAGTTGATCTGCACTTTTGACAACAGATTTACCTTAAAGATATATGTGGGAGAGGAAGAGATTTTTAAAAAATAAAAATCAGTTATGTTTATGTAAAATGAAGAATTCCCTTTGGTCATTCCATGTTTTTAAGAAATCCAATTACCTTGTTAGTTTCATGTACATTATAGTTATTAACATTTTTAAGTCCAGTATGATCCTTAAGCAAAAGTAGAGATTGCTTTTAACTGACTACATTTTATGATCACATTAGATGTCCTCATAACCAATCAATCCACTGATTAATTTGTCTTATTTCCAATATATGGGAGTGATTTTAGAGTTTTTGTGTTTGTAAAAATGTAAAAAAGTTTGCAGAAATTAGTGTAATATAATTAAATGCACTATCTGGTTATATACATTACTTTTACAATTTGATTCCTACCCCATCTCCTCAAATACAAATGTGTATATGTTCCATAAGCTGGAAACTTTCAGCAAAATTGAAGGGCCAAATTTTAATGGCATTGATTAGATAGTGTAGTCCTTTATAGCTCAGTTCAGCATTCAACTAATCTTGATTCCAAAAAAAAATGGCTCTGGTGGGTCTATTGAACTCATTGGTTAAATATATTTATTAATGGTAATCCTTGTAAAATCCTTGCTTTAATAGTACAATTTTCACTACTAAGCTAATGGCAAGAGCAGCGCTCTTAAAATCTTTGCATTGAACTTGTAAAACCCCATGTAAGTCATTGCATTGTATCTTTGAAATGGCAATGTTTGTAAAATTTATATAAATATATTATAATCTCCAATTCTTCTCCAGCACCGAGTCTGATCAAGACTCATTATGCATACATCATTAGAATTTCAACTACAGCACCTTCTCTGTATTTTGACTGGACATCTAAGCTGCATTGGTGCATGTTTTCTACTGTTTTTCCCTGTAGTGAACATTTTTAGAAGTGTTTCTTTCAATTCTAAACATATTTACTTAAGATTATGTCCAAGGAACCTTTCTTCTGCCTAAATATAGTAAGTGCAGCATTTTTATGATTCATATGAGTGTTCTGTCTTCAACTCAAAAAATGCTTCCACAAAACTGCAACATCAGATCTCTCCTCAATGGCTCCCTCTCATGTCAGCAGAACACTGTATCTATTCTCCCTGGAAGTAAAGTGAGAAGTTCTGGCTGGGGTACAGAAGAAATTTCTCAGGATCCTGTTGCCATAAAAAGCCATTGGGAGAACTCCACAAATAAACCTTTTCCTAAGTATGATTTCATAGTGTATTTAGCTCAAATATACCATAACTAGTATCCAGTTGTATGTTTTCCTTCCCCTTCCCAATTGCTTGGATTCTGTGCACCTTGAGATAAAAGGGAAGAGTTCTCCTTATTAAGAAGAAAAAATATTTTCTGATGACATTTTGTTCTATTCTTCCCTATCACCTAATTAAAGAAAGTAATCTAAAAAAAAGTTGCTTTGGCTACTAGGTTATGTCAGTAGCTGCAGGATTATTTTTTGTTTAAATAAAATGATAAAAAAGGACTACATTCACAGAAAGTGTTTAAATGCCTGATTTCACTTTATTTAATGCAAAAGATTAAAAAAATAGGAAAAAATAGTAATGTGTTAGTTCAGCAACTATAAACAATGAAAGCATAGTGCAGGTGGCATTTTAATAATGGTAACTTAAAAGTATAACGAAGGTGAGATTGTGACAATCACACTCTCCATTAAACAACATTTTGCTTTATTGCTATACAAAGAATCACCATTAAAAACTGGAAAAAAATGTAAGGGTGCAACATCTGACTCCATTGAAATAAGCAATTAAGTTCACATTAGCTGCAATGGAATCAAGTTTTTTGTTTTGTTTATTGGATAGTAACTGTAGTATTGTTGTAGCTAAAGCATTTGAAAAAAATTTGTAGCCAGGGAAGCATATTGTGTGCATCAATGTATATGTATATATGTGGATATATGCTTATCTGCTGAAACCGATTTTAAAAAGCAAACAAAATTACATTAGGCCAATTGAAGTCACAGAAATGTGTTTTTTTTAAAAAAAAATCATATCACAATTTTATGTCATTTCTGTAGTATAAATTTATAAAATATATGAGAACTTGTTACCTTAACAGAGGTTTGGAAGAAACTGGCTGAACAGATAAAAGTCTTGAAATATGCTCCAGCTGTGTTCATGGCAAGCTTTAAACATCCCACTCATTGAACTACTTTAAAGAACATACAGTGATATTACTGAGCTACAGTAGGAAGACTGTAACTAATGAAATGCCTCTCCATAATCTGTCATGCTTGAATAGCATTTTGAAGAAAGAAGTTACTGTCATCCCACCTCGGATTAAGAAACTCAAATCTGAACTTTCATCCCTCCTTTGATTAAGAAGTTCAAATCTGAACTACGTGCCAAGATGTCACAATGAAAATTTTAGTAGGGGTATTTTTTTAACATAAAAATGCAAACTGTTCATACAAATTAGTTTAATACATGAGGTATTATGTCAAAAAGATTCTTAAGAACTTATCCTCTATTAATTCGAAATCCAATTTTTAATAAAGTGCCTACATTCTTATTTCCACAATTATAGTGGCTCCAAAGAATCCTTACAGTTGTACATATGTGCGTTTCCCATCTCAAACTTTCTAAACGTGTTTACATAAGACACCAGTCTGATCTATATGTATTTCTATAATTTCAAATATTGGTTTATCATGCAAAAATTGTTATTTAATATTACACTGACCTGTAATATGGAACACAACGCTAGTGGGTGTGCTTATTAAGATGTTTTTTAAAAAAAGAATTGCCCATGTGCAGGTTAGGTTTTCAAATGTGTTGACCACTAAAAAAGGACCCTATCAAAATCTATCCAGCATTAAATAGAAGACTGAAGATGAACACCTAAAAACAGTCTGACCCAATAGTATAAAATGATTAAATGTAGCTAAAGAGAATATATTGTTACGTGCTAACAACATGAGGGGCAAACTGTTGTTTGAAATAATCATTTATGACCATATGCTAAAGTGGTCACCAATAATGAATGCAAGTGGTTGTACAGCAATGTTGGTAACACAACAGTGAACAGCACAGCAACACTACAATGAGTCTTGTCTATTTCTAGCAGTTGATGTTTGTCTAAAATGTCTGTCTTCTGATGCAAAAAGAAGCATGATGAAAATACTAGCTATGCAAAATAATGGTTGAAGTTAGTCCAGAAGGCATGGGATGCCTGCATAAAAATTCAAGATTTAAATCCTAGGTTGTTTCCTTTAAATACGATTTGGTTGTTTTGCCTCCAACACATGGATTAGGAAATTTCAGACAGAAATCCCCGTTAATCTCTCTGCTGACAATGCAGACATGCCAAGCAAAACCTTCTCTGCTGCTGTCATTACCACTCTGCTTTTGCTCTACTCAATTAGGTGACATCAGCAACAATAACAATAGCAACAGTTCTAAACATTTCAGTGTTAAGAAGAAAGTTCTTCTGCACTACTGTAAAAATCCTTAAAACCTACCTCAGTGTTTTTCCATACAAGTACGAAGGGTATAGCAACGGTCAATTCGTTGCTGAAAAGTTGTGAGTTTGTTAAGATGGCAGTGCTGTTCTGTTCTAATGCACGGCTAGTCAATAATTAAATTTATCACAAAAGAACTGCAGGAACCTTAAGCAATTCATGACAAAAACGGTTTTGCAATCTTACTACCAACTATTACAACTGTGGTTATTTTGCCTTTAACCCAAAAAAAAAAAAAAACCCTCCTCAGCCTCACAATAGCACCTCACTTTAAGCTGAATAGTCTAAAAACAATTTCCTTCTACAAGCAAAAATTACTGTAAGAATCTGGCCAGTTTTTGCAGCAGCAGCGAAGGAATAATGTTTCCACACAAACCCCTATTGCTTCAGGTCTTTGGACTGGACTGAATAGCAACCTTGCTGGAATCCTATGATCTCTTTAATGCCATAATTTCTCTAAAACCTAAAATGCCTTCAATATGAATAAGGGCAAAAAAGAAAAGGGGGAAAAAAGGAACCACAGACAATAAGGCAATCTTTACAATGTTGAAAGATGTATTTGGCATTTTTTTAAAAAAGTGGGGGGGGGGGAGAAACCAAGTGCATACAATTTACAGCTAGAAGCATTTCTGGTTTGCCAAGTGCTCTCTAAAAAAAGCAGCGCAAGTCACAGCCTACACTGAACAGTAACTGTCACCAAGGAAGCACAACAAATAGTTGCTATAACAACAACAAAAAAGAGCATTTATAAGTACATACCTTTGTCTTCAAAAAATATAGAAACACAATGTATTCAAAAAAGAAATCAAAATTATACAGCCATGTTTTATGAAGTCTACATTTCCCTTGTCTTGGATATATATATATATATATAATATATATATAGATATTTATAGTATTTATAGGTATATACAGTTCAAGCCGTTTTTGACGTTGCAAAGAAAAACTGGAAAAGTCATGAGTCTCTCTCTTTTTTCACTTTGACATCTCCTGCAAGAATGGTTGCAATCTCCCCTTGCATGAAGGCCCAAGGGACATTGGATCCCACTAGGGGGCACTTCTCCCCACTGGGACAATACACTTCGCCATTAGCTCCTTGCTGTTTGATGCTCTGTCTAGAGCAAGGGAAGCAAAACTTATGAGACGGAACTGAGGGACACTGCACAAAGTGGGTGTCTTCCAATCGCTCGTGACACAGGGTGCAGCAGAGGGGGACACTTGCTGCCAGAGAAGAGTCTGGGAGGCTGACAGGGTGCACTGGTTCCATCCCTCCAGGATTTGCCCCTTGGCTCGGCACTTCCCTGGCCAGCCTTCTTTGGTTCATAGGGGATGGAGAAGGGGGGCTACTGCTATTCCTCCTGGTGGTGGAGTGAACCTGGTTGGCATCTTTGGAAGCATGGTTGCCCCCAGCGTTGTCTGCAACCAAAATGAGCGCAGCCATAGGGGACTGACCATTCTGAACTGCCTCCGGTGGTGTGGTCCGATTTGAATGAGGCGAAGCAGTTGGTGGCGGTGGGGACATGAAAGATGCAGCTGCCATTGGTATTTTCATCCCTTCTGATGAGGTGGGTAACCATGACTGTGCCTCGCCATTGATTTTTGGAGGTCCAACTTCACCTTCGGGTTCTGGAGAAGTCTTTCTCTTCCTCGCAGCCCGAGCCCCTAGAAAGAAGCAGTGGGAGATGAGATCATGTTGCAGAGAGAATGGTGTGTCCTATATCACTCTAGTCAGTTGAAGCAGCTGGACCTCAGCCAAATTACTCACTAGATACAAATGGGGAAGACCAGCTTAAAACCAATAAAAGTTCACTTTATCTGGGTTTGTGAATCAGCTTCTGCAAGGTAGACCAAAGGCTCATATTATTATGGTACACACTGCAGTCAAATGTAACTACATTGTGCCTCCCTCCTCCCACATTAGTGGCCATGAGCCAAAGAAACAAGTGCATGCTTGTAATTTTCCACTGGCTGGAAACATTCACAGTCATTGTGCACCCAATGCGTCATAATCCACTCACATAGAGAAGAGCCCTACATTTATCCATACACATCCAGTCTCTGGCTAACTTCCGCATGTTTGTTAATTTGCACACTCTGACTTCTAGCCTGGTGCAGGAGGAGGAAGGCAAAACGTTTTCCAGCCCCGCCTGCCCCAGAGCTCCCCTCGCAAGAGAAAGTGGCCAGGAGTAGGGAGGGGAAACCTCCCCGCGGCAGATGTTGCTTCCGCGCGCGGAGCACGCTGCCACAGCCAGGCACAGGAGGTTGAAAAAGGGCCCCTGACCCGGTTTTTCAGGGAGGAAGGGCGAAACGGTTCTCCCTCCACAAGAACCTCAACTGCCCGCGCCAAACGCCCGCCTTTCTCACCTGATTTGGCCGCAGCCCCGTTGCTATCGTAGCCCAAGAGCCTCCCTCCCGCCATGCCGGGCTCCTTCTTGAACTTGCTCTCGAAGGGCGCCGCATGGCCGCTGTGCTGCAAAGCCAGCAGGGTATCACGCACGGTCTTGGGTTTGCCCAACCACTCTTGCTCCGAGCCCGCCGCTGCCCCCCGGGCTTTGCTCTCCACGCCGAGTGGGTCCAGAGGGTCCGCCGAACCCCGCGCCGCTTGTGGCTGCCCCTTTTCCTTGCCCTCCTGGTCGCTGGCACCGCCGCCGCCACCGCCGCCGCCCCCAGACGAGGAGGAAGACACCGAGCCGGGCCGCTTGTGCCCACCCCCTTCCCCGGGCTGCTGCTGGCTCTGCTGCGCCTGGGAGACCGAGACCTGCAGCGGGGTTGGCGGCGCTCCGGAGATAGCCGCCAAGGAGGCTGCTGCAGCCGCCGCCGCCCGGCTGCTGATGCTGATGGAGGCTGGCAGGGAGGCTCCGTTCATGAGGGGCACCAAAGTGGGGGCCACGGCGTGAGTCCGGCGCGGGTTGGGACTCTGACGATTCAGTTCGGGCGGCTCCTCGGGCTTGGAGAAACCGTTGGGGACGAGGATGCCGTTGACCTGCCTGCTCCCGCCGTACTCGGGTCCCAGGCGGGGAGGCGGCCGCTCGGAGGACGCCAGCGCTGCAGCCAGAGAGTAGCGCTCGTGGGGCTGCGGTGGAGCGCGGGATGCCGCCTCGGCCGTGGCCACCGCCGCCGAGTGCAGGTCTTTGGCGCTAAGCGGCGGAGGTTGTTGCTTGGTGTGCGGAGGTGGCGGAGCCCGGCCTTCCTGGAAGCTGTGCGCCCGCTTGAGCTGCCGAGCCGTGTCGATGACGAACTCCACACGGTCGGCCCCTTCGTAGTTGACGCAGCCTCTGCAGACGGGCTCGGTGAAATCCCAGATCATGGCCCAGGGCATGCGAGGTAGATCGCACAAGTAACAGGACTGCCTGCGGGAGGCAGCGGCCACCGCCACCGCCGCGGACGACATGGCCGAGTCCAGGGGCAGCGAGCGCCCCGCGCCTTGTCCCCTACCTCCTCTTCCCCACCGCTGCTCGGCTTGCCACCGGGGAGGCTCGGCGTGTTGCAACTGGTGCTGCAGCCTTTTGCCCTGAATGCCAGCTCCTTGGGCGAACGAGCGCGGCTCCGAGGCGAGGGAAGCGCCTCCGCTTTCGGCCAGGCTCTCCTATTTCCTGGACTCCGGGGACGTGGCGATATGCATCGCCCGAGCAAGGCTCCCTCCGACCCCCCAGTACGACACGCCGCTCGCTCTGCCCGCACAGCGCTCTTGCTACTCCAGCACTGCCCGCCGGCTGCCGGCCGCCCAGACACTCACACTGGGCGGGGACTCCAGAAGCAGTCGCCGCCGCTTGGGCGCTCTGCTCCAGTGACTCGATTCTTCGACAGTGCCCAGGAGCGCCTGCGTGTTAGGCTCTCCCCTTCCTCCTCCTGCTGCTCATTGAACTCCTGCCAAGACAACAAGAGCTGCAAGAATAACCAGCTCTCTCTAGTCAGCACGCGGAGGGAGGGAAGGAGGGAGGGAACGGCAGCTCTTTCGTGTGTGAATGGATGCAAATAGAAGGACTGGGGTGCCTTTCGCTTCTCCTCCTTCCGGGCAAGAACGCTTTACTAGTAATGCGCGGGGAGTGTAGTTTTGCAATAAAAAATAATTAATAGCCACCCTGTACACATAGCTTCGCCCGTTGCAGAAGGTCACCGCACCTTGTGGATGTGTTCTAATGTTGGATTCTGCAATGGCCAAGTTTTAAAATGTAGGTTACCCGAAGAATCGTTTCAATTTTCGATATTGGCTATGGGCGCATTGACCTTCGGCAAATCCTTTACACTTAAAACTGCCTCTTAAATTGAAGTCATTAACCGTCCTTGAAATTTCCAACCCCGCTCCCCGAGCACTGCATCGATTTTGGGGGGGGGGGAGCATAATTATAGGTCAGGAAAGGATTTTGGATGATTATCTAGCCTTCAAGAGCGCTGCCACCCCTACGATTGCCAGTAGGAATTGCTATTATTATTAGCAATTCCTAGTGGTTTTCACGAATTTACCACCAACTAATACTCACAGGCACGTTTCTTCAGGAATAAATCTCTGGATGTAATAGGCTGCCTAGAAGAAAGTAAGCGTAGGATTGTATTCTAAAAGTATTCTAGCTTTTATTTCTGAGTCGAATTCGTTGGGTATATTGGCGGGGAATGATGGGAGTTGTGGTCAAGATATGTGAATGTTAGTGAAATTGGAAAGTATATTACATGGCCAAGTAACCAAAGGCAAGGATTCTAAATTCACTTGCTTTACCAAAAATTACATGTAACATCCGTGTAAGATTTTCTTCCTGAAACCTGAAATTGCATGTTCAAAGTACAGTACAGTAACACAGACTGCCGCATTAAAAAAAAACCTTAAGGCGCACAGCAGTATACAGTAACGAGAAGCCGGGGAGTCCTGGATACATGCATGAAAAGCGCATTAGAAATTATCAAGTTGATAGTTCTATATTGCCACCAAATGACCAAATCGTTTAAACGTATTGTGCGTGAGCCTGCTCGTTACACTAAAGGCTGCCAAGCTTTTTCATGAATGTGTTATTTTTGCAATGTCTTTTAAAGTCCTTTCAAATCCAATATTGGGACAGCCGTATTTCCTTTCCTCAGGCACCAGCGCAGAGCTGGGCATATTCAGCACACCCACCCAGATTCACAGCACTCCTTTCCCACCCCACCAAAAAAAAAAAAAAAAAAGCCGCGCAGCTTCTTTCGGTACAAAATAGAGAGAACCTATTGTCACTGAAGTAAAAGCGTAATCCTACTGTATATATATATATATATGTGTCACGCTGCGTGCCTATGGGATCGTGCCGGGTAAACAAAATGGCAGCGTTTTCCTAAAATTCTGGCGTCTAGGTCACCATTCCCACAGTGCTGCCGCAGCTGCTGAGTTATGTAGGTTACAAAGGGAAACGGGGGAGGGAGGGCAAGAGAGCGCTCTGACGTCTGCATTTTGTTCAAGGGCTTTGGCCACACTCTCCGTGCGCAGCCGCAGTCCAAGACGTGACTCTCCGCTATTGGCACTTGAAAGGCTTGTTAAGCGAATTGCACATTCCAGAGGCGGAGAGCTTCTTATTGCTGCGCCGTCACGGCCGCACGTCCCGCCCCCTTTGCTGCTATTTCTGGGCGCCTCACGCTCCCTTCCGCCCAGGTGCAAAGCTCGCCCAATGTGGTAGCTGACGGGTGTAAAAGCTACGATGTGTACTCCCTTGCTCTCTCTCATCATTAATCTGTGCGGCTCCTTTTGGAGGCATACAGTGCTATCATTCATTCAGACCCGTTGGGGTTATAGGAGAACGAATGTAAATCCGGGTGCTGTAGGGTAATTTGCTTGCACGTATGGTTTCCTATAACACGATCCTGCGTTACTTTCTAGTCCTTGCTGACGCTTTTTTATTTACCAAATTTTAAAACCGCCCATCTCCCTCACAGAGGGATCTTTCACGTTCCTTCTCTGGGAACAAACTCAATTTCTGGAGTAGTCAAGTTTCCGATCGCCATTTTTTTTAAATGGAAATAGGACACTCGAGCCGATTTTTTTTTACAACCTCTTCACTTTGAACTGGAATGAACTGGTTGTGAGTTGGAAGAGCAGAGTGTAGATTATTATCTCCAACTGGATTAGCAAAGGGAAGGCAGGGAGGGAAATATGGTGTTGACATTGTCTAGCTTGTTGCTCTTCGAAATGCGGTTGATTCGTTTGAACGTTTCCCCCTTAATGAAGCGGAAAGGTTTGGTTTTGTTTAAAATCCACCCTCGATTTTATTGATCTTGCTTGGATCACATGAATAAACTTGTCCTCAAATTACATGGTTGTTTAATCTCATATTAACATGTTCAGTATTCCTTCCACGATCCTCCCGCGTGGGGATTTCCGCTGTCAAATGCCCTGCTTGTTACGCTTGCGCTTTTCAATGTTGCCAGCTATTCCCGCTAGCGTACAAAAAAACCGGGGGGGCTTGGTGCAGGCTTCTGTCTCACAAAATCTTGTGCGCCCCCTCCCAAAATGGTGCAGTGCCCCCTCCCACCGTTTCTCACAGATCCAGCAAGTCACCACCCCTTTCTCAAAGTTCCCATCCTGGTTTAAAATGGAGGACTGCAATTGTTGATACATTCAGGAAAATCCTATTGTCCTTTCGGTGCAATGCAGCTTAATCGCTTCCTGCCTTCTCATGCCTGCGCGGTGAAGCCGCATCAGACATAAACAGTGCCCTTCCTTCACCCAGTCAACTCTCCCACGCAGCACAAAGCCAATCATCCTCTGCTCGCCATTTGCTCCCCCCCTTCCTCTGCAAACATTGCACTCGTTAAATGGAAAGTCTTGATTTCTATGTGTCCGAACTGAAACCCGCTGATTCTTAAAGATAATCGAGGTTTTTATTTTTTTAAAAAAAATATTAAGTTCGTTCTGTTTTGATTCTTCCTTCCAGCCCCAGAAAATTCGCATTTCCCAGCTGCAGATCCCTCTCTGGGTTTTTTTTTTTTAAGAAGCATCTACCACCGCCCCTTGCTGCCCTTCAGTTTTGTCCGAGTTGGCAAGAG